TTGGGATCCTCAGCACCGGGCAGCTCCGGGATTTGCTTCAAGATGAACCGAAGCTGGACCGGATCGTACGGCTCAGCAGGAAGGTAAGGCGGGGGGCGCGGGCAGTGGGTCGGGGGGGTGGAGGGGTCGGGCCCGCGGCCTGCGGGGACCTGGAGCCCCAGCCAGAGGAGGCCACCCCCCCTCCACCTGGAGCCGCCAAGGCCTGGGGATCACGGGAGCCTGGCACGTCCGAGTGGGCCCCACGGAGTCGCCCCCGGGGGATGGGGGGTCGCCCCGATCCGACCTGGGGCTGGTGGGGCTGGTGTTTGTGTGGGGAGGGACCTGGGGATGTACCCGTGCACCTCGGGATGGCGGCGAGGCGTGCCCTCAGGAGGATGCTCTGGGGAGGTGTGTTCTGGGGGGCTGGAGGTGGAGGGTGAGCTGCTGTTGTGGGGGGCCCTGGCTCAGCACACCCACGTTCTGTAGGGCCAGAAAGGGGAGGCGCCTTGGTAGGGGAAGAACTGAAGGCCTGCTTGACACCTGGGGTGGGGTGTGTGGGGGGAGATGGCTGGGAAGAGGAGGAGGGTATATATTAGATGGGGAGGGGGCTTTGTGTCTGCCATTGGGGATGGGTCTATGAATACAGAGGCTTATATTCCATAGGCCACCATCAGAGAAAGTTGTATATTTCACAGGAGACATAGGCCAGAGCTGTCTGTTGGAGGTTGGGGGCTGTGCAGAAGAGAAAGTGTGTGTTAGAGCCAGACAAGGAGGGGTATGTGTATGGATCAGGGGACAGATGGAGGGGAGTACCTTCTCTAGGGGTGGGGAGCAAGGTTTGGCCCTCCTAGAAACAGGCTCAAAAAGCCTTCAAGGGCTCAGAGCTGCCTTCTGCTAAGAGAGTAGCTAGCAGGTGCAGAGGCCACAGAAGCAAAGGGGGTGTGTATTGTATTTTGGGGATTGTGGGGTTCCACTAGAGGGCCGAGGAGCGGGGTGTAGGAGATAAGAGGGTGACCTGAGGGGGGGGTTGCTGGGAGGGACAGGTTGAAAACACTCCCCAAGAGTAAGAGCAGGGGGTGAGGGGAGAGTGTTTTCCACACAAACACTTGAGAAGGAAGCGAGACAAAGGCCTGAACAAGAAGCAAGCTGTCCAGGCATGGAAAATGGGACAGAGGAGGGAGGGGGCACTCAGCCGGGACCTGAGCAGACACATTAATTGAAAAATTAAAAATTAACTAACATTTGTAGAGGCCTTCATAGTTTCGTTCACTTTGGTCTCACAACAACCCCCACAAGGTAGGCAGTTTTTTAACTCCAGCTGTCCAAAAAGAAACTGGAGCCTAGAGAGTGGACCCAAGGCAAAAACGGGTCCCTCCCTACCTGGGTCTCTCCACCTGTTGGGCCCATCACCCCTGCAGACTGGGGACTCAGGTGACTTTGGCGTGGTCTGTGGTGGCTATCACACAGGGACAGATTCCAGGTGACCCTGGGCAGACTCTGACCTCTTAGCTCTCTTTCACCCCACAGTTCCAGGGTCTACAGCTGGAGCGAGAGGCATGCTTGGCCTCTAACTATGCACTGGCCAAGGAGAATCTAGCCTTGCGGCCCCGCCTGGAGATGGGCCGAACTGCCCTGGCCATCAAGTACCAAGAGCTTCGAGAGGTGGCAGAGAACTGTGCTGACAAGCTGCAGAGACTAGGTGAGGGTCAGGGAAGAAACTTCCAGGAGTTGGAAAGCCAGGGTGGGGCTGGCCTTGATATGCACTAGGTTCTGAAAGGTGGAGCTGGGGCAGACCTACTCCCAGACAAAATTTGAAGAGTGTTGTTCTTGGCTTTCTAGAAAGTGGGGTTGCAGAAGGGAGCTGGGTTAGAAAGCCAGTCCTGGTGGTACATGCCTGTAACCCCAGAACGTGGGAGGCAGAGGCTGGTCTGGGCTACATAGTGAGCTCTAGGCCAGGCTGGGCTGCATCTTGAGACTGTCTCAAAAAAACAAAAACAAAACAAAACAAAACATCAGTGTCAGTGAGATGGCTATTAGATAAAGGTGCTTGCCACCAAGTCTGACAACCTGAGTCTATTCCCAAATAAAGACATGGATATAAGACTTTCTGGGTCAGTGAGATGGCTCAGCAAGTAAAGGTGCTTGCTGCCAAGCCTGATGACCTGAGTTCAATCCCTGAGACCTACCTACATGAGGAAAGGAGAGAAGCAACCTCCATACATGTGCTGTGGCATTTATGTGCCTACTACATAGAAGAATACAAAATAAAATTATTAAATTAGCCCAGCATGGTGGTGTATGCCTTTAATCCCAGCACTCAAGAGGCAGAGGAAGGTGGATCTCTGTGAGTTCAGGGCCATCCTGGTCTACACAGTGAGTTTCAAGCCAACTGGAGCTACAGGGTGACCCCGTCTCAAAAAAAGACCAAAAAAAAAAAAAAAAAGAGGAAGTAATTAAAAACAATGTTTAAAAACAACAGAAACAAACAGAAAATGAGAAAGAAGGCACAATTTCTGGAGTGTTCTAGGGTCAAAAACCCTGGCTTTCTCTTTTATAGTAGGATGGGGCAGAATATCAGTGGGGAGGTTGCCTCATGTCTGTCTAGGTGGGTGGCTGATGGTAACACTGTGGAAGGGAAAAGGATAGCTGTCTATTGTCACCAAGGGCCAAATGATGAGGATGGTACAGGTGAGGAAATGGAGCTAGGCTGGTGTCACATGCCTGAAATCCAACACTCGGGAGGCAGAGGCAGGAGGATCACAGCCTGGCCTACAATGTGACACCAATCTCAAAAACAAAACAAAACAAAGCAAAAACAACTAAAATGAGATGAGCAGGGTGGTACACACCTGTAATCCCAGCACTCCAAGGCAGAGGCTGGAGGATCAAGAGTTTAAGATTAGGGCTGGAGAGCTGGCTCAGGGGCTAAGAGCCTGGCTGCTCTTGCAGAGGACTTGAGCTCAGTTCCCAGTACCCACATGGCAGCTAACAAATGTCTGTAATTCCAGTTCCAGGGGATCTGACACCCTCTTTTGGTTTCTGTGGGCATTGCACACACATGGTGCACTTACATACGTGCAGGCAAAATACTCATACACATAAAATAAAAATAAATATAAAAAATTTAAAAAGAGTTCAAGGTTATCCTGGGCTACATAGTGAACTCAAGGTCAGAGACTATATGAGACCTAGCCTGAAAAAGCAAAAACAAAATGAAACAAAGCCAATTGAGGATTTGGAGGCTGAAGAGATGGTCACCTGTGGTCAATGGGAGACTCAGTGTTTTTGTCTGTCCCTCTCTGGTCCCCAGAAGAGAGCATGCATCGCTGGAGCCCCCATTGTGCCCTGGGCTGGCTGCAGGCTGAGCTGGAAGAGGCTGAGCAGGAGGCTGAGGTGAGGGGAAGTGGTGGCTGGGTCTGGGAGGGGGACAGGAGGGAAATCCCTTTTGTCCCATTGTGGTTGTCATTACATCAGTCTTGGGAGGGTCTCCTCTGAGAAGCCTATAGTGACTGCCCAAAGGAGAACTTTCCGGACTGTCCCCCAGAGTAGCAGAGCTTGTGTGGCTAGGCTAACTGTGGCCTTTCCTGGGCTGTCCTGGGACACTGAGGGGCTGGGTCTGCAGAGGAGTGGGGCCTATTTCTACAGGCTGGGTTAGGAGCCTCAGCTTAGTTGAAGGGCGTGGAGGTACCCCTCGTTTTGGGAAATCCAGTGGACAGCTGTCCACAGTCACTAGAAAGAGGCAGGCCTGGTTGGAAGCTCCGGGCCTCTGCAAGCTGGGCACCTCAGGGAGGGTGGGGTTCGGTCCGATGGGATTCCTTCCCCAACTTTCCCTGTTCCATCCTGGTCTCTGTGCAGGTGCAGATGGAACGGCTGTTGCTGGGCGAGCAGAGCCTGGAGGTCTTCCTCCCAGCCTTCCAGCGGGGCCGCGCCCTGGCTCACCTGAGACGCACCCAGGCGGAGAAGTTACAGGAGCTGCTGCGGCGTCGGGAGCGCTCTGCCCAGCCGGCTCCCCCTACTGCTGCTGCTGCTGCCAACGACGCCCCCAAACCCTTTCCTGCTGCAGCCGTCCTGCCCACTGGGGCCTCCCGGGGGCCACCTCCATCCGTACCCCGGAGCCTGCCCCCCTTGGACTCCCGCCCAGTGCCCCCACTGAAGGGCTCCCCCGGGTGCCCCCTTGGCCCAGCCCCTCTGCTGAGCCCTAGGCCCTCTCAGCCTGAACCCCCACATCGGTAGGAGTCAGGGTGTGGCCCCCCAGCGGGGGTCCAGACAAACTTGATCGGTGGCTCCTCCCCCCCCCCCCCTGTCTGGGGGGGGGGGGGGCCTCCCCCTGGCCTAAGGCAGGCTCCAGGCCCTGGAGGCTAAGCTGGGGAATAGGGGCTCCCCGAAGAAGCCCGCAGAGGGCTGGGGGTGGGTGGGCAGGGTGCTGGACCTCGGTCACCAATGAAACTCTGCCTTTTTCTTTTTTTTGGGTTTTTTTTTTTTTTTTGGTCTCCCTAACTGGGACCTCCAGGGTGCCAGGCCAGCTCCCCAAGATGAACTTTATGGGGGCCTGGGAAGGTGCCTGCTTCCCCCAAGGGGTCTTGCCTGCACTGGCTCGTACAACCACCAAGGCTGACTGGATTGTTCCCCTCATACCCTGAACTTACCCCTTCCTGCAGTTCTGGGACTTGCCGCCTAGGAGCCAGGTGGTCAGGCCCCAGCTATGGAGCCAGGGACACCCTCGACGGCCTTGCAGCTGGCCCCTGGGCAAGGTAGGCCAGGGACTTGCTGACCTGCACAGGTGAGAGCCGGCTGTCCCCAGAAAAGACCATTCTGTATTTTTCTGTCCCTGTCTCCTTAGAATGGAGCCTTTTTGAGGGCAGGTCCTTGTCTTTGTATGTTCTGTCCTCAGCCCCGCCTCCTAGGGGCTGTCAATAAATGTGCTGATGGATGATGGTGGTGATGCTCCGCCTTCTCTCTGCCCCCTCAGCCAGCTCCAATGTCCCCTCCTTCTCTTCCTCTTCTTGGGATGCCCTGCTTTCCTCTGTCCATCAAAAGCCCAGCGTTACCTCGACTGTGTGCAACTCCTCTTCCCAGATTGCTTATCAACCCTGTCAGGATGGTACCTCCTCCCTTTGTGGTCTGCCAGTCCACCAGTCTCCACTGGGTGATGGTCAGCATAGTGAGTTCCAGGCCAGCTGGGGCCACAGGGAGACCCTGTTTCAAAAGGTGAGAGGGGTAAGATTATGTATGGCTGAGCCTTTTTCCCACTATCAGGATTTATGGAGCATCTTCTAGAAGACCAGCCTTCCTTGCCCAGGGCAGGTGAGAAATAGAGACCCAGCTAGGACTGAGGATGTGGCTTAGTTGGTAGAGTGCTTGCCTAGCATGCCCCAAGCCCTGGGTTCAATCCCCAGCACTGCATAAACCAGACATGGTGGTGCATGCCAATTATCCCAGTACTCTGGAAATGGAGGCAGGAGAGTCAAGAAGTTCAAGGTCATCTACAACTACATAGAAAATTTGAAGCCAGCCTGGGCTACATGAGACCCTGTGTCAAAATGGAAAAAACAGGGGCCAGACAGATGGTTCAGAAGTTAATATCACTGACTGCTCTTGCAGAAGACCCAGTTTCAGTTTCCAGCATGATAACAACTGTCCCCTAACTCCAGTCCCAGGGAATCTGACAAGCATTTGCATGACACGAGTGCACTTACATACACGTAAGCAGTCATACTCATAAAATAAAATAAATAAAAATGGGAAAAAAAACCAGAATAAAACAACAAAAAGGATCTGACCTAAGGAGGACCTGGGAAGGAATAAGTGTTGCCATATGAACCAGGTGGGTCCTTCTAGATGCCTCACAGTGAGGTATGGTGGCCAACACCTGTAATCCCAGCACTTTGGAGGTATAGGCAAGAGGATCAGAGGTTCAAAGTCATAATTGGCAGAAGGCAAACATTTTCTGTGAGTTCAAGGCCAGCCTGGTCTATACAGTGAGTTCCAAGTTGGCTGGAGTTACAGGAAGACCCTATCTCAAACAAAACAAAACAAAAAGAAAATCATCCTTGGCTACATAGGGATTAAAACTCTGAAGGCTGATAATTTTGAGTTTTGAGGCCAACCTGAGCTACATAGCAAGTTCAAGGCTAGACTCAGTTACATAGTGAGACCCTGCTTCCCTGTCTCAAAATAAAATTCAAAGGCTCATACCTCACACACTCAGCTTCCACAGGGCTGAGACCCATATTTAGAGGGAGGGGGTTCCTCAGTGTTCAGCTCTGGCCTGAAAGCCAGGAGGCAGTAGGGATAGGACCTATCAGACTGGAGTGGGCCTTGTTCTTGGTGGGTCATGAGTTGGATGGTTTTGAATTGAATGGTTAAAAAAAATCCCCCCAAACCAACTCTTTCGGGGCTGGAAGAATAGCTCAGCAGTTAAGAGCATTTACTGTTCTTGCAAAGGACTCTGGTTCAGTTCCTAGCACCCGTATCAGGTGGCTTACAACCAACTGTAATTCTAGATCCAGGGGGCTCCATGCCTTTTAAAATATATATAATACACCTGTAATCCCAGCACTTTGGAGGTGTAGGCAGGAGGATCAGAGGATCAAAGTCATAATTGGCAGACACTCTCTGTGAGTTCAAGGCCAGCCTGGTCCACACAGCGAGTTCCAAGTTGGCTGGGGTTACAGAAAGACCCTGTCTCAAACAAAACAAAACAAAAGTATATAATATTTTTGTTGTTTTTTTGAGACAAGATCTCCCTGTAGATCCAACTGGCCTAGAACTTGCTATGGAGCTGGCCTTGATCGCACAGAGATCTGCTTGCCTCTACCTCCCAGGCACTGGGATTAAAAGGCATGCACCACCAAACCAGGCTAAAATATTTTATATATTAATTTAAAAAGTTTATGTGTTGATGTTCTATCTGCATGTATGTAAGTGTACCACATGCATACAATGCCCAGAGGCCAGAAGAGGGTATTAGAGCCCCTGGAACTGGAGTTACAGATAGTTGTTAGCCACCATGTGATTGCTGGGAACTGAAATCGGGTCTTCTGCAAGAGCAGCCAGTGCTCTTAACTGCTGAGCCACCCTCTCCAGCCCTGATGCCAAAGCCTCTGACCTCCATGGTCACCTGTGCACACATAATGCACGTAAACTCATGAAGGCACATATACATACACACAATAAATAAATCTTTTTTTAAAACCTTTTTCATAGAATTCTTTGCTTGCGGGTACATGGATTGTTCTGAAAGATTCTAGGAAGTCTCGCCTATAATGTTCTGCCCCAAAGTTCCAGAGCTTTTTCTTTGGAAAAGAGAAAAAACTTAAGAGTGTACACTAAGAGGCTCACGAGAAAAGTCCTACCAAGGGGCTGAAGGTGTGCCTTAATATTAGAACACTTGCCTAAAATTTGTGAGGTCCTGGGTTCCAAAACCAGGACTGGAAGGCGGGGGGCGGGGGGTGACAAATGTATTACAAACTCCTGCAGCCTGCAGCCTGCAGCTGTCACCATGTAAACACCTGTAATCCCAGAATTCAGGAGGTGGAGACAGGATGATAAGGAGTTCAAAGTCACCCCCTACTTTTTGCCATCACCTCGGTCTAAGAAACAAGCAAACAACAACAGAGTGGGTTTTTTTTTTTTTTTTTTTTTTTTTTTTTTTTTTTTGGTCTTTTTGAGACAGGGTCTCCTTGTAGCCCCAGCTGTCCTGGAACAACTCACTATGTAGACCAGGCTGGCCTTGAACTCACAGAGATCTGCCTCCCAAGTGTTGGGATTAAAGGCGTGCACCACCACGCCCGGCCCAACAGAATGTTTTTATCCAAATGAACAAGAGTTTTATTTGGAGAATTTAAATATTCACTCTTCCTTTTTTTTTTTTTTTTTTTTTTTTTTTTTTTTTTTGTGTCTCCCTGTAGCCCCAGCTGGCCTAGAGCTCCCTTTGTAGACCAGGCTGGCCTTGAACTCACATGAGATCTTCCTGCCTCTGCCTCCCAAATGCTGGGATTAAAGGTGTGCACCATCACACCTGGCCTTATTTTTTAAAATTTTGTTTTTTTACTATTTATTTTTATTTCACTTATTGTGTGTGTGTGTGTGTGTGTGTGTGTGTGTGTGTGTGTGAACTTCAGGGCTTTATTGTGCAACAGGGAGGGCCATGCTTGTGCCCGCCCACTCCCAAACTTTTAAAGTGTTATTTCTGAGGTTCCTGGTAACCCCCTTATGATCTCCACATGGACTTTTAAAAACAATATAGCCAGAAAAACTCAAGTTTAAACACAGACAACATTATTTACATAATTCATTTTACACTGACGGTAAAAATTATACTAGTCTATCACTAAACTAACTTTATTTAGTCCCTTCTTAAATGACTACTAAATATCTTCACTGTCCCGGTGACTTCTTGTTCTTAATTTCTTGGTGTACACAATGTCTTTATCCTCCTTTGGGTTTTCTGCACCTTTCTTGGCACCTCGAATTGCTCTGGGCTTAGGGTCACTGTCCAAAGTGGCTCCAGTCTTTCTAGACCTCAAGCTCCTTACACCTGAATTCCCAGAGACTCTCTTCTCTTTCTGAGCCTTCTTGTGGCTTTCTCCACCTTTCTCACTTGTGTATCTCCTCTGCCACATGAACCTGGAAGATTGCACTCGGTCCTCCAGACCTCAAGCCTGTTCTTTCCCTGTTGACTTTGAGTCTAGATGCAGGCTTCTTGATGCCATCATCTGGATTCTGCAGCTCTGTCTCTTGGGAGTTGTTCCTGGTCTTCTCATTTCTCTTGCTCTTAGCCTCAGGTCTTTGCTGGTCTTTACCAGTTTTCTTTTAGTGTCTGGAGCTCAGGAGCACTCTCTGATCTGGAGTGACTGTGTCTTCTACTTTGGGCTCCTTTCCTCTAGTTTTCACAAGGTAACTCATCTGCCCTTCCACATGTTCCATTCTGTTTGTGACCACTGTCAAATGTTTCATCTTTGGGGGCTCCAGTGCTGGCCCTCTCTGGTTGGGAGCAGCCCCTGGGCTCTTGGGGCTGGGCTGCTCTTCTGGTGCTTCCTGCACCTGAGCCACAGAGCACATCCCTCTGGTTCTTCAGACGCTTTGGCTTTCGTTTCTTGCAGACTTCCTCTTGGGAGGCAGAGAATGATTGGTGTTGCTTTGTGATGCTGCAGGGTCCCTAGATTCCACCAAGACTCCCATGGGGCTCTCCTTTTTAAATTTTTTTTTTGTTTACTATTTATTGTTATTTCACTTTACTTTTTAAAAAATTTTATTTTTATTATTATTGGGGGGGGCAAAGACTTTTAATGGGCATCATAGTTTACAAATACA